ATTGAGTTGGCGATGTCGAGGAAGATCTATGAGGTCTCCATCTGAGATTTGGAGTTTCATTTTGATTAGTCAAAGGATCGTCTTGTGTTGTGTTTTACATTTTGAGGGGAAAGATGAGTATGTAACTGGTTAAGCTGGACTAAGGCTTTGATGTGGTAGACATCGGTCAATGATGGTTCGAACCCTAAGTAGGGGAGAACTGGGTATTTTTCTTGGAGGATCATTGGTTGGTTTGATCTTTTGAATTTCAGCACAATGTGTCAGAGGAATCTGCGGTTCAGGTACGCTAGATTTTGGTTTGGGATTATTGTTCCATGGGGAAAAGAAGTGGACTACCATCAAAGTGATCGTGGTTAGGAACTTTCTTATTGTGTTTCTCAAAGGATTCATCAGAATCCCCCATGGTTGCGGAGAATTTAAGGTTTGTACAGATAGTGGGTGCAGAGCAAGTGGTCGTTATGTGTATGTCTTCAAGGACGCATGTGTCGTCCTCGTAGTAGGAAGCTGATGGGTAAGAAACTTGTTGTGGTCATAATTTCCTTTCAGAAGCATCAAGGATCTTGATAGAGAAATGTTGAGCCGCTCGAGTTGTGCATCAAATATCGAGGACATGGTAAGCCTACAATATGGATTAGTTATCTTCGAATGAGTTGGGAAATTGTTGATCGGCCTTAGAGTTTACTGTAATTATTTGAACGCTTCAAGTTGTATCAGCTAAGGGTGCAATTGATGTGTCGACCCTTCGTCCAACATGTAAGGTGTACATCTTGGTCTCTGTATATGTGTACTCTCGATTGTTTGGTTGTGGTATGGTTGTTCTTAGTAGGTTTAAGTTGGTAGCCATCCTTGGTTATTGGGAGTCGGATATCAGAGCAACATTGTTAAGTTTTTTTCAGGTATAATCGTAGTTATGCAAGTTCAGTTTTGGCAAGTCGCGTCGACTGGGTTCGTATTGTGATTAATTCGATCAGGGTTTTGGCAACATTCCTGGTTAATTTTGGAGTCCTTTCCAAAATTGAAAGTTTTACTTGTTTCTTATATATTGGTGGGGATCTATTCAGCTTCATCAAGGTGTGGGATCTTGTTGGGGTTTTTAGAAGGATGTGTTTAATAGCAATTGAGGTTCGTCGCTTCGTTCGTTTGTTGGTATGTCACCTTTTGGGTAAAGTCACTATTTAGAAGGGACACAATCATCCTAAGGAGCGTTGTGTTTTCTCCTGGAGAGTGTGAAATATTGTGATTTTAAGTGGGAACAATAGTTCAATTGTCTATCTTGTTCTGGTAATGTGGTGTCATGGTTTGTTTAATGATGCGTCGGTGGCAGTGGATTGTGGAAGAGTTATGTGTTCAGAGTGGTATGGCTCCTGTATTGTGTCAAAGTGCTGAGTGGGAGTGTTGACAGGGTCCTTAACAGTCAGTGGGATGATGGCATCATGCCTTTAGGCCCATTGGATATTAGCCGGGAGGTTTCATATGTATGGTTGGGAAATGGCAAGAACGGTGAGGAACCGTGGGCTTCTCATCCCAATGGTTGGATGGCATCACGGCGTGACGTGAGCCATCATGGATTTCATCCATGTATGTGGGGAAGGTAGTTATGTAGTGGAGACTCGTGTATTGTTCTGTTTGACGTATATCGCAGACGGGTATTGAACATTATAATGTTGTTAGTGGGGGCTCAGTGACCGGCAGGTTGAGTCGGGTAGTGATAGGATGTTGACTTGTTGGAAAAGTCATTGTTGTATATTAACGGTTGTTATTGGGATTCTTCTTAGTGAACTCGTGTTCGTCTTATGATGGAGTTCGTGTGAGTTCTCTCCCTGTATTACCTATGTCATGGTGGGGTACATACTAGACTAGTCGAGTCTTAGTAGCTGATGGCTGTTATAAGTACTTTTAGGACTGTTGAAGTCCTCAGGACTGCTGATAGTCCCAGGATCGCTGATGACCCATAGTTGTGTAGACATAGCGGTATTTGTGTATTGGTTAGAGCACCAGGAGTCCGGTAATGCGGGTGGTTATAAGTCTCTTGCGTGTTTTGGCAGGTGATTGTGCATCTATGTTGTTTTGGGAGCTTGGGTGTCACACGAGTTTTGGTGTTGCCCATGGTTGTGCTCGTGGGAGTAGTTAGTTAGTACGACTTGTCAGGAAGTCGGGTGCGTATTTGAGGACCTCAGTCATGAATCTGAATTTGGGATGGGTTGGTCATCCTCGTTGTTGTTTTGTTTATATGAATGACTTTTAGAGCCAAGGGGGATGTGTAGGCTAGTTTATATTTTGCACTTGAGTATGTATGCGGGGTTGTCGACATCGATGGTTGATTGAGAATTATGTACCCAGTTTCCAATGAGACGGCACAAGATCGGGGTAAACCTTGGATGAGTTGATTTTATGAACATTCGGTTAGCATTATTGATGTGTGAGTAGCCTTGTTACTTAGAAATCAGGTATGATCTAGAAGTATTTAGATTGTGATTAAAAGTGAGTGCCTCCTAAGGTTGATTAGTTAAAGTGTGATGGTGTTCGTCCTTCTTCGAGTCGCATGCTTCTTGTTGAGGATTAATTTAACTTGAATGCCAATGAGGATATGTCTGCTTGGAGTATGGTTTCAGTGCTACATTGGTCGGGACGTCAACCTTTCGGAAGTTCCACTTTGGAATGGCTTATGCGCCTGTTTCTGAAATCCTTGTAATGATTGTTGTAGATTCTGGTATGGTGGGTTTTGTCGGACTGCGCGGAAAGGAGTGGGCTTAGAAAACCCATAAAGGATTTGAGGATGTTCTTAAAAAAGATTCGTAAGGGCATATTTTGAGGATAAAATCTAATTTAAGTGGGGGGAATTGTAATACCCGTTTCCCAGAATGGATTAGGTGAGGGCTTGGTGGGATCAGAGATCAGATTTTTTGGAAAAAAAACTAGGTGCCACGACGTGGTTATTGGAGCACTACGATGTAGCATATTTTGGGCATTATCATGTGTTTAGTTGGTCGCCACGGCGCAGCAAGGGAAGACTACGATGTGGCAGCTATGACGGCCAAAGCCCATGATTTTTAGGGGTTTCTCCCTATTTAAACACCTAATCTAAAGGATTGGGGTATCGTTTTTAGCCTCCAACCCTTTCAAACTAAACCCTAGCCCCCTTGGAGTGATTCTTGTTGTATCAATGGTGATTCTTGAAGTTTGAAGCTTTGGCTTGCAATTTGGAAGGAGGAGAGGTGGGCTTACTAGTTGTAAGAGTGCATCACTTCAGATCTTGCACCTCATGCATCTAGTGGAGCTTTGGAAGGAATAAAGCTTTCACCTTTTTGGTTTTTCTCTTCATAGATCGAAGATATTGCATTTATTGGTTCATATTCAAGTTCGGATTGGTTGGTTGAGATAAAGTTTACAACTTTATAGCTCATCTTGGTCCCTTGGTCACTATATCTTTTGGATCTGAAGTTTGATTGTGTTTTGAGCTCTATGCATGAGATTTTAGTCATTTTCCCCCATTTTAACCTAATTTGATATCTAGACTTGCATTAGATTTTAGTAATTTTGGATCTGAAGTTGGATTTTAGAGATTTTAGTCATTTTCCCCCCATAAAGATACGATTTTTATGTTGCAATAGAAGTAAGAAATCCTTCTGGAAGTTATGGATTTGTGGCTTTGGTTATTAAGAGTTTTATGGTTGAGTGCATGCCATAAGTTGTCATAAACGATCTAGGTTTAGAGATTTTAACTCATTGAGATGTCTTAATGGGTAAAGTTGGAAACTTTATCCATCAAGACCTTAGGAAGGACTAGATCTGAGATTTGGAGCTCTTGAGGTTGAATGAAAACAACTTAATCCATTAAGCTGTTGAGACCCAATTCCCACAACGTGGCAAAGGGAGGCCACGACATGGCAACTGGGGGATGCCCGATTATTTTTTCGTTTTCCTCCCACGTCGTCGTAATTGGAGCGCCACAAAGTAGCGATATGCTGAAGTGGGCTTTGACCATTAATCGTTGGCTTTTTGACCAATTTGACTTTTAGTCAAACTTAGAGAGGTGTTGAGCTATAGCCTGAGATTTAGCTTGTGATTGGTTTAGAAGGATCTTGTAGTTGATTCTGTGGGACTATGAGTGGAGTATTTCAGCTCTTTATTCATGTGAGTCTTCTCACTATATTGTAGGGAACTAAGTGTTTTTTGTACATGTTGTCTTTGTAACTCTTATGGATATGCTTGTACGTTGTATGCGTGGAGCCGATATGGGCTCGGAGTCAATATGGATTTGGGGTTGATACAGACCCGATGTAGCCGATCTGAGCTCGGAATCAATATGGACTCAGGGTTGATACAGACCCGGAGGTTGTTACGGACCCGATATAGTTATGTGTTGTTATGTATGTTGTATGTAGTATTTTGGGGGAATCACTAAGCTTTGTGATTACAGTTGTGTATTTAATATTTTGCAGGATCTTATCGGATTGCGAATGTCGGACTGTAAACACCCATCAACAACTTTGTGAATCGAGATTCCGCATTATCTTCTCTTAACTTTGATTTCTGATTAGTGGTTTATAAACAAATGGTTTGATCTGAATGTAATTTTCTTAAAAATGGGCATTTATTCTATTTTAAAAAATGAAAATTTTATTCTAGAATTTGGGACGTTACACGCTCGATGGCGAATCATGACAACAACACTTTCAAATCGGGATGATAAACCATTTAAGGTGTAGATAATAAGATTCTTGTCGCGTATCTTTCTCTTCGGGCTTAGGTTTTCCGGTTGATCGGCGATGGTGGTGATTTTGGAGCAATAGGCAGCGACACCGAAATCTCCCATTGCGATGCTTCTGAGTTCAGTGTCAAGTTGGATGACACGAGACTCTTTGTTGTCTCAGAACATTCATTCAAGGGTGAGCCATAATACTCGTGCATTTGTTTGATGCTAGCACGATGTTGAGAAGGTTTGTAGAGAGAGTAGAGTAGATCCATGCTTTTACAACATCAGTGTTCTTCCAAATGGGTTATGTTGGGGGTTTGTTGGGAGCATCATATGTTTCATCTATGTTCTCAATAGCATCATAGGCCCCGCAGTGATTTCTGAACAGATTTCTCCAAGTGTCATAGTTTGATCTTTCAAGATCAAGAACAAGAGGAATGTGAGATTTTATGTTGGAAGCATAGAAGACATTGTGAGGATTACGGGTGGAAGACTCGCCTGTCATGGTGAGAGGAGAGGCGAAATTAGAGTTGTTGTGGTGGAGAGGATGAACAGTCATTGACAGAATGCAGAAAGAGAGGAGAGAAAGTAGGAGATAAGAATGGAAGGTATCTAATTTGGCTCGGATACCATATTATCAAATGATCTCAATTGATTTCATAAAGCATTACATCACTACATATATACACAAATACATTGGGCTATACAAGGCTAATCACAATGGGCTATACATGATGGGCTATATACTAACATTTCTTTTAGCTTTATAATGAATTTTCATACAATATAAACAAAAAAGAAATATTGGCTCTAGTTATACAAACATATAAACTATCATTCTATCCGTACGTGTAACCGTCTAGGGACTATTGTCTTACGCCAACCTTGTATACAAGCTAAATTAGCTCCATATCCAAAAATGGAATTCTATGTTAAAAATGCCTTCAAAAAATGTAATTCTTTTTATCAACCAACTCGCATATTCCAGGCTAGCTTCGAGCTAATAATTCTTCCCTAGTTCGACTTTTTTCGCCAATTTACATGTGTTGTACAGAATCGAATCCAATATTCCAGCAACCTAAAAGCATCACACAAAGAAAGTAAACAAGTTAATGGAAAAATATCGATATAAATAACCTCCCAGATAAAAAATATATAAAACTTTTTACAGTTCCCATTTACCGTGAAGACACCACCGATAATGGCACACAAGTTGGTGATGAAATGAGAGAATGACTTGGAGTTTTCGGTTATCAAAACCTGGTGACAAATTAAAGGGAAATAAATAAATATATAAGTAGGAATATTTGTTGATGGAATTAAATCAAGTGAAATGCATGCATGGGATTTGAATTTTAAACCTGCATTGGTGAAAACTGGAGATGGAACTTTGCTGCAGGGATTGAAGGAGCGTGTATCAAACTTGTATGTGCAGTGTACTCGTAATTCTCAATTAATTGATGTGATAATCCCATCACCTCCGTTTTCACCACTTGAAGATAATGCTCTATCTACAAACACAAAAAGAGTTTTTCTTTTATTTAAAAGAAAAGGAAAAAAGATAAATAAAAGTATCCTACGTTCAATCAACAGATTTTTTATTGCTTTGGTTTTGTTCCATGCTTCTTCCACATGTCACTATTTGTATAAATCATATTTTGTCTTTCAATTTGGCTGATTTTCGTAATTTTCGTCACAAATATTTGATCATCATTTCATGTTCTTGTAACTTTTTTTTTCATGTTTCAAGTAAACTAACTATTTTTAGCGTCAAGTATAGCTGACTTTTTTATCCCAAAAATAGTTATTTACATGGAATAGACCAAAAATGCATGAGAACAAAAAAAAAAAAAAAAAAAAAACGTTATGAAAGACCAAAATTGGAATTCGCTCTTTAGTCTTCAAAAAATTTGTCTTGTTATAACTTATTTGACTTTATTTTCACTGACAAAAAAAAAGAGCAACAAAAAAACAAAATACAGTCAAAATTTGTAAAAAACATTTCTCTACAAATAAAGGATGTATTTGCATATATTTTCGTATAATCTTATAAATAAGAAATAATAAAAGTTTTTTTATTGTGTAAAGAAATATTTTTTTCCATATTTTCTTAAACTTAAAAATAACAAAACTTGATCATAAATATAAACATTTTAATGAAAGGTTGGATTAGTTTATATTATTAATAAACTGACAAAAATTAGAATACTTGGTCATGTGTGGAAGGAAGAAAAAGTATATTTTTAATAAAACATTAGGTTTGTTTCCATTATGTTGATTAGTCTTAACGAGAGATATAAACAGGCAGATGAGACTGTTTCTACCACATGACAGTTATATCGTATTCTTTCCAAAAAAGCCCTTAACGATAAATAAGATATTAGACTCCAACATATATATACAGACAGACAGTGACACTGACTGTGACTGTGTCTAGCTGATATGGGACACCAACTTACCGTAACATTTGCACTATCTTCTAGCTTGGTGACGTACGCGTGGCCATTCAACCTATTGTGAACTTCATCAAGATAAGGTGCTAATCTTTTCATATCACTCATCATTATAGGAGTAATTGTCGAACCAAAAGAAAATTTTGAAATCATATGTGACATGTTCATTAGTGACGCATCAAATGAATGGGCTGCTGAACTTGCTGAGATTATAAGATTTCCCGGAACCTAAGTAGTAGCACGTGACAAAAAAAAGGTTTTTACTAACAAAAGAAAATATTTTTTATTTTTATTTTTTAAATTGTTTAGTTACCTTTTTGACACGTACGAAACCTTCAATCCTACAACCTTCTTGAGGTGGCGCGGGTAGAACTTTTATATATTCTGTAGTTGCGGCTGAAGAACGCTTTACGGAATTTAATTTAATAGCTGAAGCCATGTTGTCGAATTTCTGTATAAAAATAAAATCGATCAAAGTTGGATTACATCATATGAAATTATCCAAAGGGTGTTTTAGTAATTTTCAAAAGGGTATTTTGGAATTAAGAAATAATCAAAGGGTATTTTGGAATTGGAAACGGTGAGAGAGAAGAGGGAAAAGCAGATCGAGAGGCGAGAGGCGTTTACTTGTGTAATTATCAAAAGGGTATTTTAGTAATTTTGACAAGAAGAAAATATTCGGAATTGAATTAGCAAATGACATGTTTCCAAAAACTCAATTCAAAAGAAATTTAGTTTTTTTCTTACAAGAATCAAAGTATCTGTATCTCTATCTCCATAATATGTTTCATGAATGTGTACTCCATGAGATCCATCTCTTACTCAAAAAAAAACATTATTAGCCAACATAAAACAAAAAACCTAATTAAAAAAAATAGCATCAAGAAAGTAAAATAACTAACCTAATATCACTGCCTTTACGATATATACGAATAGATGGATACCCTTGTATATGATGCCTAAAAACCATTGAAAAGTGAGTAATTTTTTTTTTAAATAACCCATTTTTGGGGATGTTAAAATTAAATAAGATGACTTTTTTTTTTTTTACTTTTTTTAAAACTTACTTTTTACACATATCAGCTTCTGCAGTGCAATCAACACTTCCGATAATAATACGCCCATCAAATTCTGGATGATATCTGGTTAATGTAATCGCGAGTCAGGATCTAATAAAGAGAAGTACATGTCAAATTTATAAACTGAATTTTGTTTTTTTAAAGAAAGTTTATAGAGTTAAAAAAAAAAAAAAAAGATGAATGTAACCTTTGTCTCATAACTTTTGCTGTTTTCTCCCATGCGGGTTTCTGAGATACATAAATAAACATAAGTATTTGGAGTTTAACCACTAATATTTTATTTATTTCAATTAAATCTGTAAAAGTTTTAGACACTTTTCCAATTTAGCCTTTTTTGACTTGTTATGTTATATCAGATTTCGCCGATTGTTTTCCAAATTAATCATTTTGACATTTTATACAACATGTAAAGTGGTTAACTTGGAAAAATGTCTCGAAATTTATTGTTTGATTGAAAAATGATTAAAAAATAACCATAAATTTTTCAGTCATTTTTCCAAATTAACAATTTTGATTTGTTATCTCACGATTTCACCTTTTGACTTGTTTTATAAGATCAAAATGGTTAATTTAAAAAAGCAGAAAGTTTTATAGTACGATTTAAAAAAATAAAAATAAAATACAACTGGTCAACCCCAAAATTGCCCAAAACAAATAACTTTTATCTTGATTTGCCCTTCAAGTTACAACATTATTAAAAAAAAAAAAAAAAAAAGGTATTTCATCAAAATATTAAAAGGAAACATTTTGCATGCATTGAATAAGATGAATATAATCATATAATACCAAAAGGTTACTCCAATGGCACCAAGGAGCAAAGAAATTCACAACCACAATTGGATGACTGCAATCGCCCAAAACATAAATAATTAAACACCATAAAATATAATCATTCACTAAATTATTTAAAAAATACTTATATTTTTTTTTACTTACTCATGAGTGACTTTATCAAAATTACGTGAAGTTAATGGGATAGATCCATCGCCATATCCCTCTTCAACCTTATGATCATGCTTAAGAGCATATGAAATGGGCCCCGCATCATACTCAAAGCCTGAAGGGTGATAATTTTGATTGATTGAATATTTTCGAATTGTTTTTGTTATATTTAATCTGTTCTGCAGATATTAGGAAAACATAATAAATAAATATATACCTTTAAAACACACTAGTTATTAATCTCATAGAAAACATAGGGCTAATCACAAAAAGGTAATATCAAATATCGAATTATCGATCACTTTTTTCAACTTTTATTCGTGAAACATCTTTTTTATGAAATTAGCCCTAAAATTATCGGTCAAGAAATGAAGTTAAGATGATTGGAACTCACTGTTCCCAAAACATCGCTCACATCCACGGATGCAAATTCACATGATAAAACTGGGAAACTGCACGAATTTTTTTAACAAATTAGCCATAAAACCACATAAAATGTCATTAATGAACAAAAACGTAGTGATTTATGAAGCATACCTTATGTTAAAGTCAATGCGTAAGGATTCCTCAATGGAACTTTTGTCAACTACAATAGCAGTTGAGGTACTAATTGTCAAAAAATTATGTATCTCCTGCGATTAATTACATGTCAAATGCAGTTAAAGAACGTGAATGTGCATTTCAATTAGAGATCAAACAGAAAATAAGTTTTTATAATTTGAAAAAGAGGGAGACTTTTTTACCATTCCAAACAAAAAAATCATGGAAATAGCTGCTACAACAGAAATTCCAGCACCTGATAATGATGCTTCTGTCAAATCTCTTGGAGTTTTTCTGAAAAAAAAAATGGTGGAATAATTAGGAAAAGCACAAATTCTTTTCTTTGAAAGACCCAAGGTGCTTTCATCTGGGAATAATTAACATGAAGAGGATTTCCGTGAAATGATAATCAAATTCCTATGAGGATGAATGGAAATGTACCTGAAAAAATCAAAAGATTTGAACTTCGCAACAGAAACCATGGTTGGAAGATTGATCTGGGAACTATATAATCTACAAGATTGAATCGAATTTAGGGGTTTTCTGTTGCCCAATCAGGAACCCCTTTGTTCCTTGAATGATTTGGGCTTCGTTTATTGACTCGAAAAGGGAAAGAAAAAGAAAAAATCCTACTGCTATTCGGATTTCAATGCTGCATTCTCGTGGGTTGTGCTTTCTAAGTAAATATAACAATTTATTTGATTCCGCCTGAAATTCAGGGGTGTTCATTGAAATAGTTTGAGCGAAAAACTGAGGCTGATATTGGATTTTATTTTTATCTATTCCTATATATGGGGGAGGGATTCCATCTGAGCTTTTTGGGTGGCCATTATTGAACTTAATGTGTAAATTTGTATGAGTAAGGTGTTTGAAGTTTGAACAAGAAAATGTAATGATCAGATTCAACGAAAAGGGAAAATGATTCATCCAGCGACTGTATATTTTTCTTCTTTCTCTTCATGTCTAATCACACATCTAAACCAAGAGAGTTTTTCTTGAATCATGATTCATGAACGTGTAACTTTGATTGTCTGAATGAATATAACTCAAATTGCAACAGTAAATCATATCTAGTCAGGATGGCCGAGTGGTCTAAGGCGCCAGACTCAAGTTCTGGTCTTCGAGAGAGGGCGTGGGTTCAAATCCCACTTCTGACATTAAATCTTTTTATTTTTTACATTTCTTTGGTGCATTTCAAATGAAAATCACATACAAAATCTCACTTCTGAAATTAAATCTTTCTTTCTTTTTTTTTTCTTTTTTTTTTTTACATTTCTTTGGTGCATTTCAAATGAAAATTACATATAAAATCTGAATGTATTCCCCATGGATAATATTGTGCCTAATTTAGATTATGTGATCAACACATAAAATACACTCACATTATTTTGGCTCAAAATATAATAATACATATTATGTTTTGTCCGAACTGGATTAGCTACAAAGAAATTCAAAATACTAAAATAAGAATACAACTACATTACAATAAAAATTATAAAGAATACAGTAAAATGTTAATTTTTGTTTGATGTATATTATCTCGATCAAAAGAAAAAATACAACAAAATTACAATAGTAAGTGCTGAATCAAGATATGCTTTAATATAAAATAAGTCGGATGGTCACATTTCACCATCACTTTTTCTATGTCACCTTACAGTTATCTTATTTTCCTCTCACTCTTTAAAACCTAAAAAATACTCACATTTCATTTCACTTTATTTTTCAAAACCCAGAAAATTGTCATATTTAATTTCAGTCATTTTTTTGTCAAAATTAAATTACTATAATTTAATAAATAAATAATTAAAATGGTTAATAAACACAAAATTAATAAAAATACAAACATGTCATCAGTTAAAATTAAAAATTACATAATAAAAATAAGAGAACATAATTAAAATACTATATCATTTTGAATCCTCGCCCGGATCCTCGATGAAGAAATCCGAATCAACAAATAAATCATCGTCTAATCATGATGGCATTGTGTTTCAATGAATTTTTGAGAAAAAATATAGAAAATGTTGTGAGACTAAAGGTTAAAATGGTTGGTACTATTTATAGAGTGGTAAAAAATAATTTTGTTAATTTAATTTTTTGACCATTGGTTTAAAAAAAATCTAATGAAAATGTAGTTGTTTGAGGAGAAAAGAGAGTAGAAAGAGAGGATAGAGAGTGTGGTGTATAATCTCCGTGCAGTTTTTCATCGCACCCAAGGTGTGGTGTTCCTAGTGCTGTGAAATGCCAATGTCATCACCACCGCACAGTGTGGTGCGTGTATACCTTGTAGCCATATGGTTTTAAGATAAAAACTCTAACGACCTGAAATGAGTATTTGTCTATACTCTTTATGGGGTTTAGAATTGACTTTTGGTATAAATGTTAAAGTAGGTTGTTATTCTGAGAATGCCAACTTACTTTAGGTTAAATGTGGTAAACAGAAGGAACGCAACTCGATCGTGCAAGGACGCGGCGCGAATGGTCACACGTCAAAGAGTCAACCAAAAAGATAATGTCACGACGCAAGTATAGGTGTATGTCGCTACACGACTATGAATGTGAGCCACAGAATACGTGGAAGCAGGATGTAACACGTGAAAAAAGACCAGGGTCCTTAGCAAGTATCGGAAGTATACTTGGTTGTGAAGCAACCATACATATATCACGATGCGACTTCACGAGGATCAGCTAGTATATAATGTGTTAAAGGGCTTCCCTGATGGTTTCTTTCACGAAACGAAACCAAAATCAGTGAGGGACGTTTATGGGTTAGAAATAGAGATCTTGAGGCCAGTTTACAAGGGTATGATCCTTAAACAAGATAAGGAAACCTCTTGACCTGGTAGTATGTAATTGTGTTTATGTAGCATTAATCGTGTAGGTTGTTAGAACCTGAAGTATTATTGGAGTTCATGATATGGTGCTATTATGAACTCAATGGTAAGGTTGACAAACGAATTTTTTTTTTTGAACAACTAAGAAATATTATAAAAACCAGATAGCAAAGAAAAATTACAAAGAGTCGTGGATCATTGGATTTTGTAACCACAATGTCCAAGTAATGTTACTTCTACTAAGTCTATTCGTAAACCAATCAAAAGAATGAATTACAATGTTTTCAAAAATATTGCTCCTCTTCATTCTCAATGTAACATCATGTTCGAAAAGATTCTTATTTTGGGATTGTGGATAATAAATGGATCGAGTAAACGCTTTGGGCTTCAAGAGAATAGGGTTTAGACCCTATTGGATGTTGATAATATTGGTTATATCATCTAAGCCCTTGGGTTGTGTTTTGTAGCCAAAGGGTAAAATGGGAAAAGTTATATGTTAGGCTTCTTGCATTGATTATGGTTTTTAGTTTGACATGTGTCAAGCCAAAATTAACTAGATAGAAGTCTGGGGCTCGTCAATACCTTTCTGTAGATATAAAATCGCTGAAAACGGAGTTAAAACGAAGAAGTTATGGTTGTTTGAAGCTGGAATGGATTTGGGTGAAAATCTGTGGCCACTGCGTGGGAGTCAGAGCCCATGGCGTCATGGTCAGTCAGGCCCAAGCCCATGATTTTTTTAGGGTATTCAACGTATTTGAGCTTAAGGTTTCGTATTTTTGGGCATTTTATCAGCCTCCATCATCTCTAGAACCTCTTGGGAGAAACCCTAGCCTCCACCTTCAAGATTTGAGCTTCTCCTCTCTCTCCTCCCTCCTCTTTTGGATGCCTTTTCTATTATTTTGATGGAGCTTAAAGATCAAGAAGGTTCTTTTGGTTGCAAGGAATGATGCTTCAAGTTTGGATCCATCAAAGGCACTACATTTCTAGACCATTGTGAGTATAAAGTTCCAATCTTGCTATCTAGTTCATTAGATCTCGTCATTTGGGGTATTTGGCACTTTTGGTCCATTTTATGAGTGGTCTTGGAGTTAAGTGAACTCCAACATCTTTTGATCAGTTTGGAATGTTTCTTGGACCCCATGGACTAGGAAAGTTAAGATCTTTTGCTTTCCCTTTTAGCCATGTAAGTTATCTTGGTCCTTAAGTCATTTCGGTGTATTAAAGTTTAGATCATGGAAGATTGTGGCATTATTATGGATAAAGTTGGAAACTTTATCCATCTAGACCTCTTGTTGATTCAGCTTTGAAAGTTGGAGACGTAGACTTAATGGATTAAGTTGAGACAGATGCATTTTGGGTCCCTTTGAGACTTAGAGCCTAGATCTTGGTGGTTTGGACCTTCCCAATGGATAAAGTGAGAAACTTTATCCATTAAGACCTTGGGAAGGATCGGATTTGAGCTTTGGAGCTCTTGAAATCAGAAGAAAATAGATTAAGCTAGTTTGAGTTGTTCAGACCAGTCCACACGGTGTGGCCTTAGACTGCCACGGTGTGGCAACTGCTGGATTAGTGACTGTTTGTGCATTGTATGCCCATGACGTGTCTAAGGATGGCTACGACGTGGAGGGCTGTTGATTGGCAATTTTGATTTTGACCGTTGACTTTTGACCAGTTTGACTTTTGGTCAAACTTGAGTAGAATTGAGATTTTGGCTAAGGATTTGTTTCGGTTTAGCTTTAGGAAGCTTGGTTCGGGTGTTCTGTTGCTGAGGTAGCTGTTGGGATTCTGTTGAATAGTTCAGGTGAGTCTTTTCATTATACTCGTGGGTTGAAGGCACCAATGCTGACCCACTAGATTATGTTTGTAGGATGATAATTGTCTTTGTGACACTTGTTGATATATATATATATATATATATATATATATATATATATATATATGCGTGTGTGTGTGTGCTTGTTGTATTTGTGACTCTTGCTGATATGATTGTATGCTTAGCTGTAGGGATGAAATAGACCCAATATCGGTTGAAAGATATCGAAGGAGTTGAAATAGACTCAGGGGTGAAATATGTTGGTTTTTAAGCAATATAACACTCCTATGGTGCACATGCAACCCTAGATGCTTTGGATCTATGTTTTCTCTAATTATACATGCAATATGAATTTTCCAAAGCATACATCCTAACTAGCATACGATGGAGGATATACAATATAAAACTCATAGTTAGATGAATACCTCTTGATGTAGTTGTCGTTCTTGGCCTTTCAAGAGATTAGCACCTCAAGTGTTATGCCTCAAATGGTTCACAAACACCATGAACAAAGGAGGACTTGCGAGAGAGGTTAAGCACCACCAAACTCGGCTAGTGTTCTTTTAGAACTCTTAGGTGTGTCGATTTTGGCTAAGGGGTGACATTTATATAGTGTAGGATTCCAAGATTCATGGGTAAAACTTAATCCATACACTTGGGTTATGATCCATATCTCATGTGGGTTAACTCTTATGGATACTTACATAAACTTAGCCCATCATGGGTCAATAGCCCAAACACTATATATCACTTATTTACATAATCAGCCCCCGTTAATTTAATTAGTCTCTTTTAATCATTAAATTAATTCTAAATTAATTCTTGATCAATACTAATTAAATATTATGATTTCATATTAATATATTATACTTGTAATATATTAATAAATCATAAATAACCTCTTTCTCAAATATCCATCCTATCAGATTGTTCTGGTGAAGGCAACCCAAATAGACCATGCTACTCTCGGGTCAAGTACATAACAATTATAGTTATAGGCTTAGACACCTAATCCAACAGTCTCCCACTTGGAT